GAGTCAAAAACTCGGTTTGTTACATATAACTGTACGCTTCATATCACCTAGCGGAACGAGTCAAAAACTCGGTTTGTTACATATAACTGTACGCTTCATATCACCTAGCGGAACGAGTCAAAAACTCGGTTTGTTGTCGAATTTACATACAACTGTACGAACTCACCGCTTCATATCACCTAGCGGAACGAGTCAAAAACTTGGTTTGTTACATATAACTGTACGCTTCATATCACCTAGCGGAACGAGTCAAAAACTCGGTTTGTTGTCGAATTTACATACAACTGTACGAACTCACCGCTTCATGTCACATAGCGGAACGAGTCAAAAACTCGGTTGGTTGTCGAAATTTTCCGGAATAGGAGTACCCTATCACCTTTTTGTCTGTTTGTTTGTTGTTAAGCGCAAAGCTACACAATGGGCTATTGGTGCCGTGCCCACCACGGGTATATAAACCAGATCTTTAGCGTCATAAGCCACTGGGAGTATACTATCACAAAGATACTTCGTCAGTTAAATTCGATGACGAGGAACCCACTTAGAGACTAATAATGCTTGGAGACGGCTTGAATGGGTAATGAAGAAAAACTTTAATATAAGTTTAACATAACAGCAAATGTACAACGTTTCGATGATGACAAAACCTTATATTGTTGTGTTATTTAATACATTTTAAAGGTTCTGGTGTTATGAGTGATTTTAAATCAACGTTGTTTTCGGTATATAAGTTGCTTTTCCAGAAGTATTTGCATTTTTATTTTTCTTCGGCAAATTCTATGTTAAATATTCTTACTTACAAGAAACAGTAGATTTCATTCATTTCACCGAATAAATTGAAAATTGTATGTACTGATTGGTTACACAGTTCAGATTTATTTTGTTAATTTTTTATTCTTTTTTTGCATTATTTGAATGTCCCCCAATGGGACAGTGGTAAGTCTATGGATTTACAACGCTAAAATCGGGGGCTCGATTCCCCTCGGCGGATTTGAACAGCTTTATCGTTATTGGTTTTCCCTCAATATTTTGATCCTAAAACTACGGAGTAAAAAACGTGCTTAATTAACGTAAACTTGCAGTCTCAAAACTTAATCTGGTGTTTGTTTTCCAAGTTATTATACCTCTGGTGTTTGTTTTCCAAGTTATTATATCTCTGGTGTTTGTTTTACAAGTTATTATACCTCTGGTGTTTGTTTTACAAGTTATTATACCTCTGGTGTTTGTTTTCCAAGTTATTATACCTCTGGTGTTTGTTTTCCATGTTATTATACCTCTTGTGTTTGTTTTCCAAGTTATTATACCTCTGGTGTTTGTTTTCCATGTTATTATACCTGTGGTATTTGTTTTCCAAGTTATTATACCTCTGGTGTTTGTTTTCCATGTTATTATACCTCTGGTGTTTGTTTTCCATGTTATTATACCTCTGGTGTTTGTTTTCCATGTTATTATACCTCTGGTGTTTGTTTTCCCAATTATTATACCTCTGGTGTTTGTTTTC